TCAGTGAAAGAAAGGGGAAAAAGGTGCGTTAAGTTATGTTTTTGTGACTTAATTCTCATGAAAACAAACATTTGCATTCAGTTTTGACCATGAATGATAGAAAAATTCAAACTGAATTTCTGTTACTTATTTCTAATGGCAGGGAACTGAGTACTTGATAAAATGGAAGGGTTGGCCCAAGTGGACATGTAGCTGGGAGCCAGCTGAGCACTTAAATTTTCATGCTGTCAGGTAAATTAATTTTGAAACGTACGGCACTGTCTCTTCTCAGTGGTGATAAGGAGTACAAGGTGCTAAAGGAGTAATAGAATTTCAGGAGAAAATATTTTTTTGTTTGTAAAGTGACCAGCTTCTCAATATCAGCTTCCCTATTGTGTTTCTTCTGTCATTTTGTAGAATAAGACCGTGGCACTTCAGGGATAAATGCAATTTCCTTGCCTTTTTATTGTAACAAATTTAAAACCCTTCTTGGTTACTCCAAAGACTTCCTCACACCTTTGTAACAAAGCCGGACTGCAATCACAAAAATTTAATATGGTGCCTCATGAATCGGAGTGCATTGCCCCATGTGATCAACCAGGTATTGAAACGCAATCTCAATACTACTTTTTAAAAGGGTTTTGAGGAATGTTGTTATTGCCTGCAACAAAAATTGAGCTTTGTTACAAAGATGTGCATTTGGCACATATGTGTTACTTGCAATAGACCTTTTTACAGTTCCTGGCACCATATTGGATTAGTAACCGCGCACGCACAATAAGAAGGCTGGTCTTGACTTGATAGTTCTTTCAAACAGCTGATCTGCTGAAATTTCTTGTTCTAATGCACTTTTCAATGCGATGGTTCTTTAATACAACAATATGGAAATTTTGTCATAAGATGACACCCAGAAACTCAAAGCAAAAAATCCCAGGGAGATTTTAAAATCTAATTCAAAATGCTTACCAGTCATTTCGTACCCGTGGATCTTTCATACCCAGACAATTTGTACCCAGGCTCAGATGTTTCATACCCACTTTTGATCAGTTCATACCCAACCCTCTGGTTGATTCATACCCGACAAATTATGACACAAAATGTTTAAAACAATCATAAACATTTATTTTATTTATCTTAGAAATCACAAGAAAGCTAATTTATAAAATCACAGGAACATTGAAAATTATCTTTTAGTTAATACTCAGCTAAGAATATATGAAAGTCATATATTTGAACTGCGGATAAAGACATGAATGAAAGTGATCCTCTCGGTAATGTGCACTACTGGAGCAGTGGTGAAAATAAGGCCTGAAAAAATTCAGGCCTGTATGGGATTTGAACCCATGCACCGGTATTGCAGAGGTCATGGGTTAAAATCCCGTACAGGCCTGAATTTTTTTCAGGCCTTATTTTCACTACTGCTCAAGTAGTGCACATTACTGCAAGGATCATTTTCATTCCTAGTTAATACTCTTGAAAAATCGTGACCTAGTTGACCCATCCCAATACATTTTGCCTACTACCACGTAGTGCCTATGACTAAACGTGCTTATTCTACTTAGTAAAAGAGCTAATTTCTAAATCATAGTAACGTTGAAAAGTTATCTTACTCTTGAACAATTGTGACCTAGTTGCCCTAGCTGACCTATCCTAACATATTTTGCCCATTATTATGGAGCGCCTATATGACTAATTAACAATTGGTTCATACGTCAGTGTGGGTTCATCGAGATATAAAGCATGTGGGAAGTTTGGAGAGCATGAAAGATGTGTAAGAGTTGCTCGAGGCATAGCTTCATGTGGCTCTTCTGTTCAGGCTATGATGCCAGCCCTCAATGTCATTGTTTGTTCTGATTGATTGCATTAATACGCTCCAGCACTTGGGGGGCCAAACTGTGCTGTGTATCCAGTTTTCCTCAATGGTGTATTAACAATAGGAAAGTAAATAACAGTTATCTTTTGAGGGCCACTCACACAGGTATAAACCAATGAAATAAATGTTTATGTGTATTTTAAACATTTTGTGCCATAATTTGTTGGGTACAAAACATCTGAGCCTGAGTACGAATTGGCTGGGTATGAAAGATCCATGGGTATGAAACGACTGGATACCATTCAAAATCAACGGGTGGAATTAGAGCCGACTTAGTGTTGAAAGTTTATGCTTTGCAGATGTGACGTGTCCTTCCATGGAGTAGTGGAGAAAACCAAGAACTTCTTACAGATGTCCAGGACCTAGAACAAAACCAGAGGGACTTCAAATGTGAAGCAGCTATGGTAAGGATTTCAGCCCTTGAATGGTTGAGTGATCTCCATAATTTACCTGAGATGAATTTCATTCAGCTGCACGATTACCCTGTTGTTGCATGAGAATATCGCCACATTGTGTTGAAAGGAATGCTTTACAGGAAGTACCACAGAAGCTGTTTAGTATGGTTTAGAAAGTGAGGCAAAGGCTGTAGCCCTCCAGGTAGAGGAGATTTGTTATTGCTGCTGTTGTTGATGTGGTACTTGTTGTTGC